ATTAAAAAAAAAAAAGACGAGGGAAACTGAGAGAACATCAATAACTACGAACCTATCTATTCTCCCATCTATTATAAAATATTTATGAAAATTATCTATACATGATTTGAGGGTATCTTTGATTAGGGTCCTAGTAAGGAACAATAGGCCTTTCAAAAGCAATATTCATTACTGGATCACATCTTTACCATTTCACGATTAAGTAAATCATATAGCAAAGTAAAGGTGCCATTGTGTTTGCTTGCACAACTTAAACTTGTTTATAGTCTGCTAAAAAAAAAAGATATTTGATTTCATAAGACAAAATGTCATCTTATGTGCTCTCTTAGAAACTGTCTTCTATTTATACATCGAAACCATTTAAAATTCCTTGGAATACATAGCAGTAGAAAACATTCTATTCAATGACTCTATGATGACAAACATTAGAAGAGGTACAAAAGGATACACATTTGTCAGAGGTATTTGCTGCTATGATGGAGGAAATCCAGGGTAGGGTCTAGACCAAAGAAGGATCTCTAGTGGATGGTGAGGTCTCATAGATATTCCTATTTGTAGATGTCCTTATGATGATCCGCGTCAAATACCAAAGCACTGCAGTGCCACCTGAAATAGCTCTGTAATCTCTTAAAGGAGTTTGGATTGTCCATCCCACACAAGACAGACAAATTGGATGAAGAATATCTATTGGCTAGATTTCAACTTGCATTTGGATTGATACCCTTGTCCATCATTGTGTATATCTGGGATATTCTATAAAGAGAAACCATGAGTTAGTCCCAGAGATGAACTAGATGAAGAGGTGAACTGTATTGCTTTTGGGAAATTGCAAAGCTCTTTTACTGACCGTAAGTTTCCCATCAAGCTTGATCTTGAGCATCCCATGGTGGTATAACAGAGCACTAGGCCTGGAGTCAGGAAAACTTGAATTCAAGTCCAGATTCAGACACTTATTAGTTTTCCCTGGGAAAGTCACTTGAGTTTCCTCAACTGTAAAATAGGAATAGTAATAGCACCTATATCACAGGATTGTTTAGAGAATCAAATAATATTTGTAAAAATAAAAACAATTAGCACAGTGCTTGGCACATAGTAGGTGCTGTGTAAAAGCTTATTTTCTTTCTTCTCCTTTCCAATGGAAAAAAAAGGCCCATCTTTTCAAGACTAACATATTAACAATGTCACTATAAAGCAATAACTTATGGAATACAACTGCTTCAGAAGAAATGAGTACCACATTTGATACATTGATACCACTTAGTAAACTTACGGCCTAAAGTGATCAAAGGGAAAGGGAAAGGATCCATATTTACAAAGACATTTATAGACACACATTTTAATGTAGCAAAGAACTGGAAAACAAGGGAGTAAAAATGGCTGAACAAAATATGGTATATTAAAGATAGGGACTGAACCTGTGATTTTCTTGGTAGAAGAACTTCTAGATAAAGAAAACCCCTCTAGTGATGCAGATTGTGACCTTCTCTGCTAGGTACAGTCTTAGAGCTGCTTAGAAAACTAAGAAATTAAGTTATTTGCCCAAGGTTACTTAAGAAGCTGTGTTGGAGTTGGAGCTAGAAACCAGGTCTTTCTGAATGAGGCCAGTTCTCTAGTCATTTTACTTCAATATTTCTCAATGTATGAATGTAATAGAATATATTATTGCTGCCAAGAAATGACAAGAGAAATGGTAATGAACTGATACAAAGTGAAATAAACAAAAGCAGAACAATTAAACAGTAACCACATCAAAAAGGAAAAAAATTATGAGTCTTAAGAACTCTGATCAATTCAACTACCAACCATGCCTACAGAAGTCAGAAGATGAAGCATGGAACCCAATGCTGGACAGAGATGATGGATTTTAGATGTATAATGAAATATGTATTTTTAACCAGGGACATCATACAGCATTGTTTCACTTGAGTATGGCTTACTTGTCAAAAGGTTGTTTGTTTATTTTTAATGGGGGGAGGGTGAATATGAAGGCAAGTGATGATGCCATTGAAGAAGAGGAAAAAGAGATTAGAGCATTCAAGAAACACATAGAAGAGACCATAAGCAATTATTTAGTGGATGGATGGAAAGATGGGGGAGTAGGTTAGGTTATGAATGGCTTTGAATGCCAGAGGATTTTGTATTTGATCTTGAAGAAATCAGGAACCGTGTATGTGAGAGAAATGATTATTTCTCTCTTGTATTAATAACTAATTATTCAATCAGAACCAATGTTTTTCTCCTTTTATACTTCCTCATCCAGAAATCAGTCAGTGAAAGTAAATCTTTCAAAGATTTACCCAGGCCAAGATCTAATCAGACAGTAAAAGAAATTCTAAGTTTAGGCTAATGGGCGTATTCCTGCTCATTGTCTTTACTCAGACAGGTCTGGGAAAGTGTTCATTCTCCCTTTTGTCAGATAGGTGATATGGAAATTGTTATGTCTCTTTGACCAAGATTTGGGTGAACCAAGTCATGTATCCTAAGATCCTCAATGTAATATAGTCAAGCTCCTCATTGTAATATTAGTTTTCTCATTAATTGTTAATCAGTCAGAGTTGGTTGCCACCCTCAGGAACATCTACTCTTCCAAGAGCATTCAAATTGTGAACCCACCACCATGCAGGTCTTTTTTCTAAGAGAGGAAGCCAAACGACCACCCTCCTAGTAATAAATATGCTGGCATTATTAATAAAATGATTAAATTACTCAGAAAGTATATCTCCCAAACCTTTATTTCTTTTTTTGCTAGGCAATGGGGTTAAGCAACTTGCCCGTGTTTGTGTCTGAGGGTAGATTTGAACTCAGGTCATCCTGACTCCAGAGCTGGTGCTCTATCCACTGTACCACTTAGCTGCCCATCTGAAACCTTTTAAAAAGCTATATATGTGACTTGGTTGGACCTGTGCTTTAGGTAAATCATTTTGGCAGCTGAATGGAATATGAGCTGGTATAGGAAAAAAGCTGTGGCAGGCAGACCCACTAGCAGGCTTTTGCAATAGGCCAGGCCTGAGGAGATGAGGGCCTGCACCAGGGTGGTGGTGGCAGTATTAAGAGAGAAGGAGGCATATCTGAAAGATGTTGCAAAAATAAAAATCTGCAGTCCTTGGTAACAGATTGGGTATGGAGTGAGAGAAAGTGAGGAGTCAAGAATGACACCTAGGTTTTTATGTTCTCTATAAACCAATCAATAAAGTATTAAACTCCTACCATGTTTTTGACACTGTCCTGGGTGCTGGAGATACAAAGACAAAAAAATGGGACGGGGAAACACAAATATAGGCATACAAAATAGTAGCTGGACTGATCAAGAAAGGTCGCATAGAGGTATTACTTAAGGTGAACTTTGATAGAAGTTAGGAGATTCTAAGTAGTAGAGGGGGAATGTAGGGAGTGGGTCCCAGGCATGGGGGATTGACAATGCAGAGGCAGGAGATGGGAATGTCCTTCAGACCAGTAACTAGGACAATCTGTTTGGATGGTGTGAGAGGGAGTAAGGGAGGATTCAAGGAAACTCTAATTTAGATCTGGAGTAAAAGATGGTATCAAGGAATTGTATTGCAGGAAGAGAAGACAGGCTAGTTACATGGTAAGAAAGAGGCAAGAACACGTGGACAATCAGAGTGTTCCATTGGTACCATCCGTCCCATTTTTAGGCGCCAGAAAGGTAAGAAGGCTTCCAACACTGATGGACCTTACCTCTGGAAGTCTTCTGGGAAGATATGGACAAGAGTCACACGTAGTGTACAGACATGGATGTGTTTCAATCTACATTATTGGAAGGGAACTTCTCAGCCAATGGGTTAACAGAGCCATTTATATTTAAGAGTATTTAAGAGCCAAGTGTTCTACAAAGGATACAAAGAAACATCAAACCCCACCATCTAGATGTTTTCATGGGGGGGGGAATCGAGAGGTAAAAGTTTTAAGTAGATACAAAATATATGCAAAGTAAATAATGGCAATTTCGAGGAATTGGCACTGACTTTTGGAAGGGAAGGAGAGGGGAAGGTCAGGCTAGACGTAGCATCGGTAGTATTTAAATACACTTTGAAAGAAGCTTCTGTCCGAGAGTTGGGCCAATTCGTGAGCTGTGAAGAAAAACGAAACTACTCTTCCCCCACTTCCTCCCCCAAAAAAAGGTGGTGGGGGGAGGAAATGATGGTCCACTCGGCTGTAACCCAGTTATTGAACGATTTGGGCTGAACCCTAAAGAAGGGCCACTGATCTTTAACACAGTCCTACCACCCACGTCCCGTTCTTCGGCTGAGCAGACCTATGGGATATTAATCCACATCCCTTGGCTTCCCACCTGCCCTTCGCTCAACGTCTCAGGACACAAGCATAGGCCCACCGGCCTCCTCGCCATTTCCAAGCACTGGACCATTGTATTAGTGGGAGGAGTTAACAGCGTTAGTGGCCCCGGGACGTCCCACACTCAGACAAACTGGGTGACGCAATCGCTATGCGACGCCCACCCACAGCGCCCATTTTAGCCTCTGGAAGTTACCGGGAGAGAGTTGGAAAGGGGGCAGAAAGAAAAAGTTTCTACGTAAGGCGGAAGCGACGATTTTGCCTTTCCGGTGTCCTTCCCTCCCCCATCCCTTCATGGGAAGATTTCATTGGTCGCTAACTCGGAACTCTCGCGAGAGACCGTTGAGCGGGAGGGGGCGGGCGGCCCATCTTCCCTCCTTTGCGGCCTCCGCCTCCTTCTCCTCAGGCGCTTCTGCCGCCACCTCTCTCCCCCTCCCCCTTCCCCGACCCCCTCCCTCGAATCGGCCGTGGAGAAGGGGCCGTCGCCGACACCGCGCAGCCAAGGGGAGGCGGGATCCTCACGGTAAGATGGCGTCGGCGGGGAGGGGGCCGCGGGGGGCCCAGGAAGCCGGGCCCGAGGGTGGCCTCCTCTCAGCCTCCCTCCATCCCTCCCGCCCTCGGGCTCCCAGAGTCCGACGCTGCCCTCCGCGGTGGGCGGGGCTGGGGCTGTCGGACGCAGTTTGTTTTGGTCTCGGGAGAGCGGCTGGTCTGGGCCTGGCGGGGCCTCCGGCCTTGCAGTTGAAATGGGAAGAAGGAGGAGGAAGGAGGGCGGCGAAGAGAAGCGGCGGCGGGCGGTCCGGGCAGTCTTACCGGCTGCACTCGGAGCCTGCTTGGTCTAGATGGCTGCGAAGGTAGTGGCGCCTGCTGGTAGGAAGTCTGCATGTCGTGGAGGCGCCTCTGGAGCCAAGTAAGGCGGCCTCTTGTGTTTCTCTGGGTGTTAACATTTAGGGTGGGCAGAAACCCAGTCAACAAGGGGTGGGAGAGTCTCCGTTTTTATCCTTCATCTTTGATAAGGTGGCTTGGTCTATTGGGGTAAAAAATTGTGATCGGAGACACAGGAGACTTGGAATTCCTAGGATTTGGAGTCGAAGGACTTGGTTTAGAATCCTGGGTCTGCCACTTAGTAGCTATGCGATGATCTTGGGCCAGTCAACTTATCTCTCAGTTTCTTCGTCTGTAAACTGAGGGAGTTGGACCTAAATGCCCCTTAGGTCTTTTCTAGCTCTTAGTCTATGGTCCTATGCGATTTACTACCTGTCTAATCTTGATTAGTGACTAAATCTTAGTTTCTTCATCTGTGAAATGGGGGCATTGACAATTGTACTCAAGGGTTGTTGTGAGGAAAGTTTTGTAAGAAGCTTTAAAATGTTGTATCAGAAACTTTGCCTGGAGGAAATACATACAGAGTTTAGATAAAACTCTCTTCCTACTCCTTACGAAGCTTACTGTTCCGTGGATTGACAGGATGTATAGGCAGTTAATTATAAGATGATAGGTAAATATTGCTAAGGAAAGGTAGCTCGAAATTATTTGTCCTTCACTACTTTTGTACCAACTAATTAAGCTTTAGGTTTTTGGTTCAAAATTGGGTTTGTGGTTCTTATAGTTGCTTAGTGATAATGCCTTTGGTTGGGCTACTCTTAAGGCATTTGGGAAATGTTTAGCTGTAAAATTGAATAGATTTTGGTGGGAAAGGTGTTATGCAGTAGTTACAATTCAGATGATGTTTCTACTGAAAGTTCTTTGTTCAGAATAGCTATGACAGTTCAAATGCAATCTTTCCTCTTAAATTATGGTTACCATAATAGTAATTTAATGTTTAATTTTAAAACACTGAGTTTGGATCTCTGGAAAATGGAACTTACATTTTAAAATATATTTTAAAAGAAACTTTGATGTAAAAATTCCCAGGCATTTAAGTATGCAAATTGCTGTCTAAAATTTAAAAAAAAAAAAACCGTACTGCAATTACAAAGTGTTTGGGAAAATCCAATTTGAATTTATGAATTTTTAGATCCTAATTTAGTCCTTTTGGATTTAACTGTTAATGTGCATAACACTGAAGAAAGTAGAATAAATTTCAGAAATTTTTAAAAACTTCTTGCACAATAAAGGTCATATAAATTCTGGGTATTTATAGTTTTCATCAGGAGTATTAACTTTTTTTTTTAATAAGAGCTTTCATTAATCTGGATGTAAATAAATAATATTTGTTATATCTGTGTGCAAGATGATAAAGTTGTTTGTTTTTTACCAGTTTATGCATGTTACTCATGACCAAATTTCTTAATTTTTTTTTTTTACTGATAGAAATAGTTCAGAATGAGTTATGCAGAAAAACCCGATGAAATCACTAAAGATGAGTGGATGGAAAAACTCAATAATTTGCATATACAAAGAGCTGATATGAACCGCCTCATTATGAACTATCTTGTTACAGGTAATTTGGAGAATGACATTTCATAAATTCTTGAAATTTTTCTTTGTTTTTTTCTTAAACAAAAGCAGAACTTTATCACTAAGTAGTGAAATTTTAGATTTTTATAATGGTCCTGTGGAAATGGGCGGCTTCTATATGGAAAAGTGGCCAGCTTTGGATTTAGGAAGACACCTGTTTGAGACAGGTACTACAGGTCTTACCTTGGAATAAGTCACTTCACCACATTGTGCGTTAATTAGCTTTCTAAGCCTGTAGATCACAGACAGGTTGCCTCAGTGGAGACAATCTAGAGTCTCCCTATGTAGATGAAATTAAAGCCCTAGACAGAAAAAAAATTTGGTTTTATGCTAAATGTAACTTGTAATTGTTTCCTTATTTGAAAGCCATTTATTGTCCTTAATTCAGTTCTGTGAGTACGGGCAGACAAGTACACTGGTTCATTATTTTTTTATTTTAAAATTGTTACTTTCTTTGTCAACAGCTAATACAGAAAGCATATTTCCCCTAAAATGATTCAAATCTGTTTCATTCTTTTTGTTTGTTTTTCAAATCTGTTTCATTCTTTAAAAACTTTCCCTGATCTTTGCTATTTTTCCAAGGCCTCATGGATCCTGATGTTTATTTTATTTATAAAATATAGGACACTTACTGTGTAATTACACTTTAGAAATTCAATAAAGAATCATTTCAGTTCTGCAAGTACTTACTAAGCAACTATTATGTAGTAGGCCCTGGGGATGAAAAGACCAAAATGAAATAGTTTCTACTCTCAAGCAGCTTATATTGTATTTGGTAAGCAGGGTTGGGGGTGGGGGGAGGCTGAGGGTATATACACAGGAAATAAATACACAGTAACTTCAAGCTGTACAATACTGAGAGTGTGTAATCTTGACTTTGAAACAGCATTCAAAATATCTTTTCTTCATCACTGATGCAGTCTGACTACATAGAAATAAAACTTTAAAAAATTTTTTTTTAAAAAGACTAGTGATTTTGGTAGTATGTGTACTTATACCAGTATAAGCCCCTACCTCTTTATGTCCTCTTGGCAGTTGTTGTGATCAAAACATTTCAGTAATAGGTCAGTCTTAAGGTGAGGCATGACATAAAATCTAATGTGATCACTGTCTACTTTCCAAAGAATTATTTCCCACATTCTTTGCAGGTTTGAATTGAGTTTGGTAAGCCCATGGGATGTTTTTTTTTTTTTTTTAAGAAAGATGATATGATGTTAATGTAGAAATTAAACATGTTGAATGCCTCTTACCTTTTCTAGTCTATTAAGTTAGTCTGACCTCTTTCCTGAAGCTATCCAATACAATAAAGAGAAAAAAATGAAATTGACCTTTGATGCTATAATGATTTGTTGAATCATATTGAGAAGTAGGGATATTGGCAGATAATAACACACCTATTTATGACCACTGCAAAACTTATACGAGAGGGAGTGAACACTTCTATTATTTAGCCAATTTGTGTTAATCACTTGAAACCAGATCTGTGACTTCTCTGGATCTTTACCAATGAACCAAGATTTTTTTGAAGTAGCATACATTGAAGCATAAATGTATCATTTGCAAGCTGTGAAATCTCTGATTATTAAGACAATGTGGCTTTGGGAAAGTCACTTACCTGCTGAGGATTGTGCTAGCCTATAAAAATTAGAGATAGGACTAGATTATCTCTAAGATTTCTTCCAGTTTTATGATTCTTTGGATACAGTGTTGGTTTTGTGAAGGTCATGGGAACTTTTTATTTTTTCTTGTAAAAATATTTATTGACAGCTTTTGTTTTATATCATAATAATTTCTGAATATATCTCCCCAGCCTCCCACCCCTTCCCCCCTGCCATCCCAATCTGGTTAGCATCCTTTGTAACAAAAAAGGGGGCAGGGCAAAGTTCAGCAAAACCTACTAAAATATTAACAGCCAAGTCTAACAGTATATAAAAGTTTCCACACCCATGGTCCCTGACCTTTGCAAAGAAAGGAAAGAGATGTATTGTTTTTCCCTAGTCTCCAAGGCTAGATTTTTTTGGGGGGAGGAGGTTTGATTGTAATTGCACATGGATCTCTTTGTTCTTTCTATTTACATTGTTGTAGCTGTGTATTACTTTCCAAGTTCTTCATTTTGCATAAGTTTGTATAAGTTTTCCCATGTTTTGGTGAATTTTTCACATTTGTCAGTTCTTACAATGAAATAGTCTGTTATATTCATGTGCCATAATTTGTTTAGCCAACCCCCATTCAATAGTAATATACCCCTATTTTTGCTTCCACAAAATTACTGCTCTAAATATTTTAGTTTGTGTGGGACTTTTCGTTCTGTCTTTGGCTTAGCAGTGGAATTTCTGGGTCAAAGAGTTCGACTATTTTAGTCACTTTTTTAGAATAATTCCAAATTGTTTTTATAGAATTTTTTTCGAGGAATGGAAAGGGAATAGCTAGGGGAAGCAAATTATTCTTGTGAAATAATGCAGATGAAAGTTTTATATTAAGTAACTAGTTGATGGTAGAGCATTTAGTCAAAGCAAAAGGGCCTCCACTGATAAAGTTCTTTATAGTATTAATTTAAATTAATTTAGCAATACCCATATTTTTCTGTTTCAGAGGGGTTTAAAGAAGCTGCAGAAAAGTTTCGGATGGAATCTGGAATTGAGCCCAGTGTTGATCTAGAAACGCTAGATGAACGAATCAAAATCCGAGAGATGATATTGAAAGGTCAGATTCAGGAAGCTATTGCATTGATAAATAGCCTACATCCAGAGCTCTTAGACACAAATCGGTATCTTTATTTTCATTTACAGGTAAGTTTAAGTAGAGAGCAACTTGAGTTTGAAGATATTTAGTGAGAGTTGCTGACAATATGTAAAATTATATGTAAGAACTAACTTGTTAATTCTAAAATCTGTTTTTTTTCCCCCTGGGGTAGGGTGTTGAATAATTCCATGCTGATGATGTTATTTTTAAATGTAATTTTCAGGTGCTATTTCAGATTTTTTTTTTTTTTAAGAAATTTTTAATTGTCAAAGAGTAAACTTAGCAATACTCAAAAATCCACAATTTTAAGCAACATCTAACAAATTAATAAAAAAATGCATCACTACTGGATATTGTCTTTAGCTGATTTTTTTTAACCTTCTTTGTATAGCAACAACATTTGATTGAACTGATTCGGCAACGTGAAACAGAAGCAGCATTGGAATTTGCACAGACACAGTTGGCGGAACAAGGAGAAGAAAGTAGAGAATGTCTGACAGAAATGGAACGCACTTTGGCTTTGCTTGCTTTTGATAATCCTGAAGAATCGCCCTTTGGAGATTTGCTTAATATGATGCAACGGCAAAAGGTAATAAAGAGTGAAATGAGTTTGGGAATTTTTTTTTTTAAATTAAAAAGGATAATTGTGAATTTTTTGTTTGAAGACATTTCTGAAAGCACTTTTTTCAGATATTTCTTGTTAATACAGTATATAGAATTCTCCTTGCAACACTATTTGATTAGACAATGGTAATACCTTCTCTAGTCTTTTTATCCAGCTTTTTAAACTTCAAGAAATCCAGAATAATGACTGTACATGTATAACCTATATCAAATTGCTTGCCTTCTCAATTAGGGCAAGAAGGGAAGGAGAGAATTTGGAACTCAGAATTTTAAATACAAATGTCAAAAAAATTCACATATAATTGGGAAAATTTTCAGAAAAATTAAAAAAGAAATCCAGACTATATCAGTTTGATGTTGTGAAGAATGCTTTCCCTTCATAATCCCTGAAAATTTTTATCCTCATTGCAAAATTCTCATTGAATTATATATTGTAATTCTATATCACTTAGGGTTTTCTATCTTTTCTGTAGAAGAATTATATTTTTTTTCTTGTTTCTTAAATTGAACACCATATTTGTATAGATGTTATTTTGGAATGTGCCATCATGGATTAATTCCTTTTATTCCATTCCTTCCCTCCTTCCCACTCTAACACCTCCCCAACCTTTTGGATTACTATATCTAATCTGCTTTTGTACCAGTCATGCCCTTTTCCAGGTGTGTATAAACCTGTTCCACCATGTGCTTCATTTTTTCCTGCTCTTTTATCTTTAAAAAGTCTTAATAAAGTCACAAAACAGTAGTGATTTGGTTTTTTGTTTTTTTTTAAATATATATATTATTTCAGTTATCCTCAGTTGACCCTTTATTGCTCCCTGGTAGTCTTTTATTCATTTCTTTCCATTGAATTTCTCATAACGAATATTCTAACCCTTGTGCATTCTTCTCAAGCTCTGAAAACTCATTCTGAACAAATTATCTTGCCTCCAGCTTTATCATGAGATCATTTGATGATAGTTTTTTTAAACTTGTCTCCATCTCAGATGTCTTGTCCTTTACTTTTCAGTTCCCTCAGTTGAATCAGTCTTTTTCTTTGTTCTTGAGCCAACGTTTTCTTGTTTTCCAGAAAACTTTATTCTAACAGTTATCTCCCTTCCATTTTGTTTTGTCTATCCCTTTCTTTCTGAACATTTGCTTTTTTAATTTGCTTACAAATATGTTTGTGTCCTTCAGATTTTAAAAGACAAAAACATGCAAAACACATTTGCCTTGATCTTGCCGCTCCCATGAATGATAGATTTTGTTTCAGCATCAGATTTCTCAAAAGAGTAGCCTAAACTCACTGCCTCCACTTTTTTTTTTAAACCACCCACTTGATACAGTAGAATTATAAGTTCCTTGAGGGCAAAAAGATTTTGTACATCTGTTACCAGCACCTAGCATAGTACTTAAAAACATTGTAGATTCCTTAATTACAATAATTGCCAAGCTCCATCCCAGGAGCTCTCACTATTTGCCTTTGCTCTTGTTCACGTGGTACTTAATGGAGCAGGAGGAGTTCCCAGCCATGCTGGTTGACTACATAACTAATTTATGTTACCTAACTACCCTATGCCAGAGCAATTCTTTTGTTCTTAATTGATTTTCTATCTCATTTCTTTCCTAAAACCTCCCACAAGACCCTTTCTCCTAGGACCTTAACTCTTAGGTAATTGAAAAAATTAAAGATGTCCTTATTGTTCTTAACTCTTCAATTCTGTTTGTCACTTGTCAATTACTCTTCTCTAAGCAATACTGCAGTGACCCAAATTCTGCATGCATAGGGTGCCAATAATTACAGCAGATTTTGTTCTCCTTGATTATTAAACATATTTCATTATCAAACTACTAGTATGAGGGGCAGCTAGGTGGTGCAGTGGATAGAGCACCAGCCCTGAAGTCAGGAGGACCTGAGTTCAAATCCAGCCTCAGACCAAACACTTGTCACTCACTAGCTATGTGACCCTGGGTAAGTCACTTAACCCCAATTGCCTAAAAACCAAAAAATAAAAAAAAAATAAATAAATAAAAACAGACTACTAGTATTAAACACACTAAAAGCTACAACAGTCTTAACAGTCCATTACCTTATATAAAGAAACCCAAAATGTACAAAATATATAACTGTAAAAAAAGCAGGAAACATTCATTGCCATGCAAAAATTTCAACTAATAAAATTGCAAAGAAGAGTGAACTCAAATTTTTACATAATACTTATGGCACAACATTAGCAGTCAATTCTGCTTAACACAGTGCTTAAACAACGAAGATTTAGAAAAGGAAATACATTCTTTTTGCTGGTGTTTTTCATAGCTTTGAATTTACTGGAACAAATCAAACCAGCAGCCTTTATAAGTTCTCTCTGTCTCATTAAATTAACTCTTTGATAGTCTTTTTGATGAAATCTTTTCTTTCAGAGAAATCATAAGCCAGGACAGTTTTAATAAACCTCATTGCAAATCTGTTCACTGTGACTTCTTCCAAGTTAGCATTGGCCAGAAGTTTGTTTTTTATAGACTTCTTCAGCCTTTTTAATTAAAGGCTCATCATCTGAATAGGTGATTAACTTTAGTTTTTGGAATTTTGATTTTTCTTTGTTTTTGTGCCTTATTTTTTTTTTTTTTTTGATAGGGCGGTTGAGGTTAACTGACTTGCCCAGGGGTCACACAGCTAGTAAGTGTTGAGTGTCTGAGGTTGGATTCTAACTCGGGTCCTCCTGACTCCAAGTCCAGAGCTCTCTATCCACTGCACCACCTGACTGCCTCTTGATTTTTCTTAATAGCACTGCTGTCTGCCTTCTTGCCTACATTTTTAATGCATTTTTTGATTTTAGAAGGAGTTTTTTGTTGAGGTTTTTCTTTTTTAGATGTCTTTTTTAGGTGTCTTTTCACTTTATCTTTTTCCTTTGAAGACTCTTTTTTTAGTCTTCACTACTAGAATCTAATAAAATTTCAGGGCATTAGGTACATTTAGCATTTCTTGCCATTCCAGAATTGCTCCATTCTTTTTTACTGCCTTTGCTTGGTAAATTCAAGGTCCTGGTTACTGTTTAGAGAGGAATGTTAAAAATTGTTTTTACATGCAACTGGGAAATAAAATATACTGGCAGTGGGGTATAGAAATCTATCCTGCCATACAGGAAAATAGAAGGGGAAGGGGATACTCCAGAGAAGAGGGGGTGGTGATAGAAGGGAGGGCAGACTAGGGGAAGGGGTATTCAGAATGCATGCTGTCTTGGGGTGGGAGGAAAGGAGAGATGGAGAGAAAATTCGGAACTCAAAATCTTGTGAAAGTGAATGTTGAAAAATAAAAATTAATTAATTAAAAAAATCCTGGTTACTGATTCACAGATGCTCTTTAGTATGGCATTCTTAAATTTTTTCAACATTTCTTCTTTTTTATATTGGTCACTCTTGTTTTTGAATGGAAAGCCACTGAACTAAACCATAGTCTTCTTCAGAGAAGCTACTATACCTGGCTTATTGTAAAGTAGTTTATGAAGATTTCTTGGTTCATCACTTTTTTTCCTACTTAGAAGTATGTTCTTTCAGTTTCAAAAAGTTTCTGTCCCTTTCCTTGGGCAATTGTAAATGATTCCCTTTGTAGGGAAGATACTTGCATTGTCAACCCCTCTATTGTCTTATTCTTTTTTTCTTGCCCTTTTCAATGAGATTTCTTTTTTTCTTCCTCCTCTTCACTTTCCTCAGGTATATCTTTAATATTTTAAAGTTGCAGTTGTTGCCAGTATGCATTGGTAGAGATAATTTCTTGACCTGGAGGTAGTTTTCTATACAAATGAAATCACAAATCCCAGTCAAAACAATTCAGCCGAGCAGTTTTAAGTGCAGTTATATACCAGACCTTGTGCTAAGCTTTGGGAAAGACAAGACAATTCCTCCCTTCAAAGTTTGCAGTCTAATTGGGAGACAGGGAGAAAGCTAGCAAATAACGTACAAATTATAGACAAGATAACCTGAAGATAATGCAATATGAATTTGCGGCCAATGAAGGAAAGAGGAAGTAAGGGAGAGAGGGAGACAGCAAGGAAACTGTTGGCTGGTGGAAAGAGGAGGGGCCGGAACACAGTTCAATGACATGTGGGGGCCAAGAACAGAAAAGCTAGAGCAGGTAGAGGAACACTTGGGGATTGGGACCAACCTGGTCCAGAACCAAGAATAATACACACATAGGGGACAGACTGAGGGGCTGTGACACAGAGGATGGGCAGCACAAAGAGGGCCAGGGACAGACGTCTTACCAGAGCTCATAACAAGCAGAAGATAGACATGAAGGCTGGTGGATGGAGTAGGGCAAAGGTTGTCTCTCTTGGCAATGGAGGTCTTTTTTTTTTTTTTTTTTTTTTGGCTAGGCAGTGGGGTTAAGTGACTTGCCCAGGGTCACACAGCTAGTAAGTGTTATGTGTCTGAGGCCGGATTTGAACTCAGGTCCTCCTGAATCCAAGGCCAGGACTATCCACTGCGCCACCTCGCTGCCCTTACAATATTATTTTTTATGTGACATTGTTATCTGTTACTCCAGTACTCAAAAACTTGTAGCAAATCTTCATTGCCCACAGCATAAAAACCAAATTTGTTAACTTGGTACTTAAATCCATTTACGGTCTGATCCCAACTTCCTTTTCAGTCTCACCTCCTAATGCTTTCTTACATGAACATTACATTCCAGCTACAATAGGCTACTAGTTCCCTGATTAGAACCCACACTTTGGGCTTTGCTTATGCTATAATCTCTGCTTTTAATGCTGTCTTAGATATCTGAATATTGAAAGCCTAGATGTTAACTTCTTTGGGATATAATATTTGCATCCTTATAATGATGGGGTTGGATTATTTGTCCCTTTCTACTCTAGATCATGAACTTGTTTTTTAGGCCCAGGTTAGATGCCACATCCTCATCAACCCTCTGATTTCTATACCAGCCAAAAGTGATTTTTATCTTCTCAGAACTCTTATAGCACTTTGTTTATGTCTATCAAATTGCCATTTTATCCCCCTTTTCATTTTATTATTGTGTGTCTATGTGTTAACTTTTTTTTTTCAATTGTAGACTCTTTTTGGTCAGAAACTGTGGCTATCTATGTATGACTCATCTTTGTATATAGTAGATGTCCATTAAATTTTTGCTGCTATTTATTCAACAAACTTCTGCTTTTTTAAAGGTGTTATTTGGAAGAAGTGTGAAGTTTATGTTAGTGTATTTGCTTGTTCTTAATGGTACAATTATTATGTTCTAATCTTCTTTATTCTAGGTGTGGAGTGAAGTTAATCAAGCTGTCCTAGACTATGAAAATCGTGAGTCAACACCTAAGTTGGCAAAGTTACTGAAGCTACTACTATGGGCTCAGAATGAGCTGGACCAGAAGAAAGTAAAATATCCCAAAATGACAGACCTCAGCAAGGGGACAATTGAGGAACCCAAGTAACACATGTGCAGAAGGGACAGCAAGCAATTTTACTACTGCACATTATTCTTCATTTATATCAGTCTGTGACTGAAAGATTTTTACTACAGTACAGGACTTGATTTTTTTTTTTTTGAGCAAATATCTTAAAGGGAGAAATGATCCTTTTAAATGCTGGAAAAACATGTTGCATTGAAAGGCGCTGTATCTCTTTGAAAGTCTGATTTAGGCTATGCACTATGATACATTTTTAAGAGTTAGATAAATTGCATTTTGCATTTTAACATCCCAGTGCTTTTCTGATTGGCCACTGAAGGATTTTAGTTTAGTAGCCATTCAAGCACTACATTAGTAAAGAATATGAGTTCAACTGAATGTCTCACACTTAAAATGTTTGTAGAGCACTGATTATTTGCTTTATGTTAAGTTATATTAGCCAGGTAATGCATTTTCTCAACCACAAAGTTATGTCAAGTTTTCATCAAGCATTTTTCTTTTGGGTCCTTTTTTTTTTTTTTTTTTTTTTGCATAGGAAAAAAATGTATATATAAACTTGTAAATTGTAATTCAAGGACTTCTTTTGTGAGGGTGTTGTGTTTGATTTCTCTTTGGTATTGTTTTTTTGGGTTGTATGGTTTCTAAGGGAGTGTGTATGGGGATAGGGGTTGTACGTTTTAATTTTATATATATATATATATATATATTTTGGTGTTTTATATGGTGAGAGACTTATTCACAATGGATCAATGAACCATCTTTTTTGCAGTCAGTCTTGCTGAAAATAAAGGTTTCTTTTTGATTTGAAGAATGACCAAAATGGCTTCTAAAGAGAGACGTTCTAATGTCTTTAATAACAATTTTGTCACAATGGAATTTTTGCAGTGACACCAACAGTGTTAACTTAACTGCAGCCTTAAAAATGACCATATCTGTCTCTTCTTTCCATATGCTTCAGGAATCCTCTTGTGGGGATGATAGTAGTCCTTGTGCTGGTGGTGAATTTTTTTAAACATTTTGTGTTTTTATGAAAGCGGTACGAGGCTTTTTAGGAAATTTACTTGTTCTGAAACTTTCCTAAACTAATGATTAGCATCTATGGAACTGTTGTACTACAGAGTTTTGCAAAGTACCAGTCCTCTTTGTTCTTTGATCAGCTCTATAGAGTTCCCATTCTTATTCATTTATAGAATTGCAGTCTTTTAGAAATGCATAATGGCTCAATTTCACAATGTTCTGTGTATGTATAATTTCTGTATACATAATTATATACATGAGTTAGCTAATATATTTGTGACATATAAATATATGTTTGAGTGTACTTTGAGCACTGACTTTCCTAAATTAATGCTCATAAGAAACTACATGAAGTATTCTAGACTGCTAAGTAATCAGAATGAATTTGATGAAGAGAGCAGTGAAAAATCACATTACAGTGCACTAGCATATTGTAATAGATGTAAGTCTTCTTATAGATTAGAATGATTTAACTTCCCTTTGAATATTCATTGTGGAATAATTTGTATTGGCACTTAAGTTTTAATGGAAAGTAGTGACCATTAACAGTTACGTTGCATTATTCTGAATCTTGTTTGCCTTATTTTGCCTTTTAATTGGATTATCTGGTTAACTTGTGAAGGTTTATATTTGACAAGAGTATTTGTAATTAAGTATCTATCTCTGGTATTGCTATCATCTACAATTAATTGTTTTGCTGTTTCACTTAGGTTGTATCCACGTTGTTTTCCAAGCTGCCACATTCAGTTTTTATGGAGTACCTAAATCTGGCAATGTTTAGTATTCAGTTATGTGTCTGTTTTATGTTATGTAATAGCAGGTTGCAAAGATGAAACAACTGTAATTCTTCACCAGTTTTAGTCAAGTTTTTCCTCTAGGCTGAATTTTTACAAGCTGAACTTCTATATTTTGTTGGTGTGAAGTGCCGGGGTGCTTTTCTTACTTTTTGCACTCTGTGTTTCAGCCATGGTTGTACCACGCAGTCAGGTGAAGTTCATTCATTTCTTGAATCTTCATTCACCTGTTTGATTGCACCAACTTATACCAGAAAACATTTTCGTATTTTTAACATTACATTTCTTTATTATAGGAGTATTTCATTTGAGGATTTTGCACCCAGATAAATTAAGATGGAAAGACAATTTTAATTTCCAAATGAAAATTTCAGGAGGAGAAAGAAAAAATTAGGATAGGAGTGAAGATAAAGGCTGCACAGTCTTTAAGCAAGCACCAAGATAGTTAAGTATAGTCTTTAGGCATCTTTTATTATTAGTGTATATAAGATAGCTTATGTATATAAATAATATATATAATCAATTTGAGATATGCTTCAATGGTAGGGGCTATGAAATGTATAGTTATAGAAATATACAAAGGAAATATTCTTGACATCAGTACATGAGCGGATTTAATCATATGCATGAAATGTTTAATAGGTGTTCATGGACAAATTGTTGGGATTTTGTAGTCCCATTTAATGAGTTATATTAAAAATCCATTGATTTTTAGACATTAGTAAGAACTAGAAACCTGGACTTTTATTTTTTCCATTTCTAAAATGCAAAAAAAATTATATTTTTCCCATGCTATATATTATTAATGAATTGGAAGCATTTTTCTGAATTAATCGTGAAGTAATAGTTCTCGTTGATAGAGTACTTGCCTCTTTATAATCATCTTAGTCTTTTCATAGTACAAAGTTTAAATTTGACTTCAAATTACATTTGAAATAAATTTATTAGTTTTTTCTGAAAATTCTATATTTGGATCTCACTGTTCTGATTAGATAATGTAGCAGTGTTTTTTACAATGCATTTATTTTGGCTTTATATGCTTTCTTGTAGAAAGTGCCTTTGAAGTTAAAATTCCTAAGTGTTCTAGGGCTTGTTATCTTCCTGTTATTGTGAAGTTATAGGAAGAGTAACCTTTCTTCCTTTCTCTGCTTTAAAATCCTTTCAAACCAGATTAGTAAAGCATTATTGCATTTGAATGACATGGTTTCCACTTTTAAAAATATAAAGGAAAAGCTAATCTTCAAAATAGTCTCATCAGTCTACTTTGTCCCCACTTTTAAACTTAATAACATGCAACAAAGAGTAGTTATAAGAATAGTTAACAACCTAGGAATGAGAATTCATTTTAAGCCTTTGAGAGGCAAACTTCTTTTATATTCATTCTTTTCCTTGAGAATTTATGATCTTTGACTATAAATACAAAGCAGTACCTGAAAGCCTTTAGTTAAAATGGTTTGTTATCTTTATTTTCCTATGACATCTATAAGCTGTTGATTTTGGGAAGCTGAGGGAACTAATTGTTTTTGTTAAAGTGCTATGTTAATTACCTTTTTGCAGATAAGTTTAGGGTGTCCCTGCTGGGTTGTCATTATCAAGTGTTAGTACAAACAGAAGACTAAATTAAAAGAGAGTATTGGGTTGTTTGCTGGGCATTTATTTATCTTTAAGACAGCTGAACTAAGTAACAACCAGTGGGGCTTGAAAATTTAGGTAAAACTTAATGTAGCCAGTAGACTCAGTTTTAGCGGTGTCTCAACCTTAATAATAGTCCAAAATCAGTTGTTGCTTTGTTGAAATATTTATTTCGATGGCTAAATACCCCATGTGGATTAATGTCATTGACATAATTGCTGTAATGTTTTAGAAGTACATATTGTTAAATTAATAATGTAAACCATATAAATTTTATATTCTATATAATATTATAATTTGCTCTAGTGATTTTTGTTTCAGTGGGAGTTTTTTACTCCATTTTTGCACCTTTAATATCTTGTTAGTGTTTATTTCCTTTACTGCTAGTTCTAATTTGATAGTAAGGCTGCACATCTTTGTTGGAATAATCATTAGGATACAGTTTTTGCTTCTGTAAAAAGATGTTTTGCTAACAGCAAAGAAAAATTAACATTTAAAAAATTAATATACTGCAGTTTAAGAGATAAAAGAAAGATATCTTCGGATTTAGTCTTGATATAAGGAAAAGTTGATAAACAATTACAGCAATCCAAAAGTGTAAGTAGTATTTTCCCCATCACTTGAAATTATGAAGGAAAGACTGGCTAGCCCCTTTGGGATGTGTTGTAGAATGGATTGTTTTTAGGCTAGAAGGCTGTTGAGGTCCCTTCCAACTTGGAAATTGGTGCTTTTCAGTAGCATTCATCTTTGTCTTTTCTCCTTTTTATTTTTTAAATCTTTGTACCACTTAGTAGAGCTTAGTCTTTTGTAATCCTATGATTCTTTAAGAAAATTTTTTTAAATTTAGCAAAAGTATAAAAATGAGACAGAATTTACTAAGCTCTGGTAATTTAATAATTGACCATTTTTTAAAAATGGTCTGTCAGATAATAGTAAGATAACTTGAACATACTTTGTTTTTGCATCTAGATGTCATATTCCTTGTGTCCAGATGTCACTGGTTTTCTTAAATATTAGGATAACTTTCATTTATGGAGAGAGAGAGGGGACAGGTTAGACACCTGTGATCTCTGTACTCCCACAGAAGGGAAAAACAAGTTCAAATAATGGGCATTGAGGGTCTTGAATGATAGTTGTGCATATGAAAATTTTGTAAAGTACTGAGATTTACTTGTGGGAGAAATGTGCATATCTATTTTTTTTTAAGTCCTATCCTGCTGAAGATGAGTAAACATGTAGATTACAAAATGAACTAGATTTGTTTTTAAAGAAGACTCTTGGAGTGTAAAGGAAAATTTGGGACTCCTTATCAGTAGTCCTTTATGTAGGAATTAACATTTAAAATTTGTCCCTTTGATTTTAAGCCTTTACTTTTCAATAGTTTTTATAGTTTTTGTACCTGCTTGGTATTTCTTAAAGATAGTTAACTGTTCTTTATGACCACTTCTCAAGAAAATAAGATGGCAGATGTTGTTAGTTGTTTAACAACAAATCTGCATTTAAATGTAATAAAAAATCCCTTGCCTTTTTGAATTTTACCTTTGGATAATTTCTCTATTATTGCATATTGCTGTATAATTTTGTTATTCCAATAAGTGTAACTTACTGTTACTGATAATCATATTCAAACTTTGCATTATGATGTGGATTTTTTGCTTACATAACAATAGAATCCTAGACTATATGGACTGTTTTTGTGACCCAATATGGCAATTCTTAACCTTTTGTTTTTAAGTATATAATTCCTTTTGAGTTAGTTGTAAGACCAAGGTTATATCAGTACCTTAATAACTTTTTTTTTGAAGACCATGGTTGTAAATCAAGAATTCTTAATCTTTTTTTGTGCATGAGGAAGCCTATGGACCCCTTCTCAGAATAATGTTTTCAAATGCATGAATTAATATACATAGGATTACAAAGAACACCAGATTATATTGATGTAGTTATAAAAATACTTTAAAAACTATATGAAACCTACCTTAAGAATCTCTGTTGTAAATAGGGCAGTAGAACTGATGTGCTGCAAGGGGGGGGATATCTAGATGAAAAAAATCACTGTATAGAGGGCAAAATAAAATTA